AGTAATGCCTTTTCCTCTTCGCAGACATTACTCCGCAATCCGTCGGCGATCTCCTCATCGAAGGCAAGACCAAACAGGTGTTCGGCGTCCGCACCGACCCCTCGCTGGTGTTCGTGCGCTCCAAAGACCGCATAACCGCCGGCGACGGCGCCAAGAGTCACGAAATGGTCGGAAAAGCCGTTCTCTCGACACAAACCAATTGCGCGCTCTTCGAGTTCCTGCAGTCGGTGGGCGTTCCCACGCACTTCGTGGGGCGAGTGGGCGGCGCCTCCCATCCCGACGCCGACCGCTCTTTCGTGGCCAAGAATTGCGCTATGATTCCCATCGAGTGGGTCGCCAGGTATGAAGTCATCCCCTCTCGGGTCACGTGTTTCTTATGCGTCTCTTTGCAGACGAGTGGCGACCGGAAGTTACCTCAAGAGACACCCGAACGTCAAAGAGGGTAAGCCTTGCCTTCCGGTGCTCTGACGCGAACTCACTGATCGAACTACCCGTCCTTAGGCTACCGGTTCGCGCCCTTGAAGTTGGAGACCTTTTTCAAGGACGACGCGAATCACGACCCCTTCTGGTCGGAGGAGTCGCTGATTGGCGCGCGACTCGAGGCCAACGGACTCCTCATCGACGCCGCGCGCGTCAAACAAATGCTCGAAATGACGAAAACGGTGTTCGAAGTCATCGAAAGAGGTATTCCTCGAGTGAGGAACAGAAGGAGAGTGAAAACCATTTGAATTTTTAAAATAGTAACAATAGTAACAATGATCCTCATAATGACCAAACTTCCCAATTTCAAGACATTTCCCAACCGTTTCCACTCTCCTTCTTATACTGTATTCCTCTGAACAGCCCTTCCCTTCGCTCTGAATAGGCCTTCCCTTCGCTTCTATTAGCTTTCGGTACACTTTTCGCGATAAGCTTTCAGAATAACAGACAACTGATAAAAACATTTAAAACAACTGATAAGACATTCAAAGTGTAAACACTTTTATCGCTTTCTGTGTACCGAAGAAAGGAATGTCTGTTCCCCTCCTATGACCCCTCCCTCATCCCCTCTCTGACCCCCAGTGTGGCAGACGGCGAACCACGCGCTGATCGACATGAAGATCGAGTTCGGAGTCATTGACGGAAACGGAAAGAAAGAGATAGTCGTCGCTGACGTCATAGACAACGACTCGTGGCGTCTGTGGCCCGAAGGCGACAAGAAGTTGATGCTCGACAAACAGGTCTACCGAAACCTCGACGCCAAAGACATCGACGCGAAGGCCATCGACACCGTGCGCGCCAACTTCGCGGTCGTCGCGCAGCGCACGAAAGACCTCTTCTCGAGCGTCATTCGCCGCCCTCTGCCCGCCCCCGCCAGAGGACAGACGCCCGAAGTGGCCCTCGTGTTGGGCTCGGCGGGCGATAGGGCGCACGCGGACGCCATCGCCGGCGCTCTGCGCGAGAAGTGGGGCATAAATGACGTCCCAATCGTCGTCTCTTCGGCTCATCGCACGACTGCGCGCACTCTCGACGTGTTGGCGCGTTTGCAGCAGTGGCCCACTTTGCGCGCCATTGTCGCCATCGCCGGCCTCTCCAACGGCTTGGGACCCGTTCTCGGGGGCAACGCTTGCGTTCCCGTCATAAACAGTCCGCCCGTGACTTCATTGGACGCGCTTTCGCTGGACATCTGGTCGTCGCTTCGGATGCCGTCGGGAATCGCGTGCTCGACAGTGGTGGGCGCGGAAAACGCGGCGCTGGCGGCGGCCCTCGTGGTGGCCACGCACGCGCCGTGGGTGTGGTCGCGAGTGCGCGCCCAACAGTGCAATACTTACGTAAAAGTGTTGCTTTTGGACGAGAATTGAATCTCTTCTCGAATTGAATCGCTTTTATAAAAGTTTAATTAGTTTTGAATAAAAATCATTCAAATCGCGACTCCGCGAGCGCTCCCGTGCACACCGCGTCCACCCAAATGCGCATCACTTCGGCCGCGAAAGTGGACAACACGTAAGTGCGCGAAAGTGTGGCCACAGAGAACACGAAGCGCGGCCTCTCTTCGTGCGCTTTAATGCGCGTGTGATCCACGAAAACGTCGCGGATTTCGGCGAACGCCACGCCACCTGTGGGCGGACGAAAGGGTTAGTGAACGCCCACTCGCTGGCCGTCACGTGACTCACCGTTTGGCTTTCGGTTGCGTTTGAAATGACTTTTGGACGCGAAATACGCCAACAATTGGTTCTCGCGGTCGAACACGAAGAAGCGCTTCCGCCACTTGTTGTCCGAATTTTGGCACAATTTATAGAGACTTCCGGAACACGTGTTGGCCGTCAGTCGCACTTCCGGTCGCGCACTCAAGTCGTGTCCCAATTCGCGGATGTGTTGCTCTAAATCCAGTTCTTTGTCCACAACCG